AAAAAAAAAACAAAGAACTGAAGTGTGGCGAGGAAACCTGAGAAGGAGAGGGAGGACAGGGAGTTTGTATTCCCTGAGTTCTATGTGTGTGAATATGCTACTGCTCCTCCGTTTACCTATCCAGCCTCCATAGTTGCCCACTGAGCTGGGCAAAGGGAGGACTCCAGGCTGAAGGAACCTGGACATCTCAGGCACAAGTAGCAGAAAAACCAGAATTTACTGTTAGATCTTTTGACAGTTCGTTCAACGATTATTTTCTGACCCTGAGCTGGTTCTCAATCCAGAAGGAAGGACCTGGAATGTATAAAAGTTGTGGTAAAAATAAAGGGTGGGAAGCGATGGAAAGGAGATGAACGAAAATGGCAGAATGCCTTCCTTTCTTTTCATCTGTACTGATGACCCACAGCCAGCCGTAATGACTATTGCAAAATCAAAGGTGAAATGGAAGCCTGTTTGCTTAGACAATGTGAGCTATTGAGGTGGTTGTAAATATCATGGAGAAAAGCAGAGTCCACCCACTCCCTTTTCCAGGAGCCAAGTAAGCAGTGGTCAGGGAGACAAGCGCCAGGTCAACAGTTCAAAGGCTAGAACAAGTCTGTCAACACTGCAGTACTGCCAGAGGGAGCTGGAACTTCGGCTGTCGAGTCCAGCAGCCTGCTCAACCCTGTACCTTCCCTATAGGTCAGCTACCTCCTCTTCACAAACAGTTCTGACAATGGAATTTGCCCGGGACTGTCATCGGCCAACTATGGAGTAAACACTCCATCTAAGGTGAGTGGTGGGCCAGTCAGCACAATTTCAGCAGCATTTGTAGCCATGCCCCACCACGTATGTTACTGCCTGGCCTCTGCCTCCTGTCAGGTCAGCAGTGACATCAGAACACAGATCCTACAGGGAACTGTACATGTGTGGAATTGGGGTTGCTTGCTGATTTAAGTCACCCCAAGCCACTTCCCCCTCATTCTGCACCCCAGCTGGTGAAAGAACATCTTCTAAGATACTGGTTCCTGGATTCAAAAGGGTTAGTGGCTTCTAACTTAGATCTGAAATGTCCCCCAAAAGTCTTTTGTTTGCAGGAAGGGCCAGGTCGGGAGGAGCAGGTCAGTGGGGGTGTGACCAGCATTCTTTCTCTGGCTCCACCCTTCTTTCTACGCTTTTGCCTCAGAGCCAGTAACCCTGGAATGAATCCTCTAAAACGGTGATCAAAAATAAATCTTGCCTCCCTGAAGTTTCAGGTGTCAAGTATTTTTGTCTCTGTGAGGGAACACTGAGGTATCCAGAAACTTAGCACCTGGAGTGGGATTGGAACCAGCTGTTCTGACAATAGCCGATCTGTAGTTCAGAAGCCATTAGAACTAGTTTGTGGGGAAAGTTCAGAAAGGTGTGGAGATGCAGGGTAGAGAAGCCATAGAATGCTGTAAATAGAGTCCAGTGGGGTGACCTGGTGGGAGCTCAAAAGGCTAGGACGCTGCTAAGAAGGCACAGCAAGGGGCCGCAGAGATAGCTCAGAGGTCTAAGCACCTGCCTGGCAAGTGCAGGGACCCAGTTTTGATTCCCAGTTCTGCATACACCAGCCCTGCCCCGGGCGTGCCAAGCTGGCCACTGAGACCGAGCGTGGTGGCACAGGCCTATAATCCCAGTGCTGGGGAGGCTGAAACAGGAGTATCACTATGAGTCCAAGCTATGTAGTGAGACCCTGTACCAAATACATAAAAAAAAAAAATGCACAGTAAAAGCCAGACTCAGGAAGTATCAGTTGGAACAAAAACTATTGGAAACTGGACGAGAGGCCAGGACATTCTGGCAAAGAACTTGTCTGCTCTTATCCATATCCTGAGATTTTGCAAGAGGCTCAGCTTAAGGGCAGTATACTGATTAATCTCATAGAGGAAATTTCAAGATAGCCCAATATTCAAGCTATAGCATGGGTACTGTTGGCTGCTTTTAGATAGATTTATACTGAAAATCAAGAAGAACAATCAGAACTGAAGAACGTGAAAATTATAAAATTTGGCCAGAAAGAAGTACCTGTAAAGTTGAGGCAAAGAAGATGTGGCTTGCTGAAAAGTTATACATGACTTACATGAGGATAACAGGAAAAACCTCGTGCGAGGATTCCAGGAAATGGTCAGACCTTATTCATCTTAGGCTCAAGAGTGTAGAAAGTAAACTTCTAAAAGACTTAATTAGGCACCCTGCTCATTACAGGCTACCTAGAGAAGTACTTCCTTGTATTCAGTCATCCAAGCACTCAGAAGCAGATGTACCCATGACCCAAGGGGGGCAGTTTCCTGCTCAGACTAACAACAAACTTTGTCATCATCTACACCAGGCCAGTCTCTCAAGCATGCTCCGTGCAAGTGTTAAGGTCCTGGCCACATCCACCCAGACTTCAGAAGGCCCAGGAGGTCAGGTAGAAATTTTTGACAGTGGTGTATTCCCTGCCAGGAGCTCCTGATGGGGTAATGTATGAAGCTGTGAGGGTGAAGCACAAGGAGCCCTGGAGGCCCCAGTGAGTGAGAGACACCAGGAACACACACTAGAAGGTCTTCTGAGAAAAGGTCCAGGCAACGAGCAAAGCCAGCCCAAGAGAGAGTCCATGTGAACTGCACTTGGAAGTGCTCGAGGAATGGGGCTGCCCCAGCCTTCTGGAGTCTACAGCACTCTACAACCTGCCCTGGGTGATGGATATGGAACTACAGAATTTAATATTTGTCCTGCTGGGTTTCAGTCTTGCTTTGGTCCCATCTTCCTATTTCTTCCTTTTAGAATTGGAATGTCAATGCTGTGCTATCATACACTGGAAGTGTTTCACTTTCTGTTTGATTTTCTCCAGCATCTGACAGCTAAGAGTTTACTTTGAATCTCAGAGATTTTGTACCTGGACTTTTCAGCAACGCTGAAACTATTAAGGCTTTGATGACTCAGAAATGAAGTGAAGGGGCTGGGAAGATAGCTTAGTGGAATAAGTGCTTCCCTGACAATTGCAAGGGCCTGAGTTCAATCCCTGGTTCTGCCAAAAAAAAAAAAAATGAAGTGAATGCATTTTGTATAAGGAGACAGTCATGAGCCTTTGGGGGCCGAGGACAGATTATTACATGTTAAGTATAAAGATATCTTCCCAGAGTCCTGAGCTCAGGCATGGTTCCTGTCTGGAGAGGGCAGGTCACTAGAGACATGACCTAAAATGAGCTAGTCTAATCCCTGGCTCTTCCCTTTGTTCTCGGCTTCATAGCTGACACAGGATGAAGGGGATTTTTCTGCCTTCCACCTTGCCATTTTTTGAGACAGGGTCATACGATGCAGCTCAGGCCGACCATGAGCTCACTGTGTAGCCCAGGCTGGCCTTGAATCTACAGCAATCCTCCTGCCTCAGCCTCTCAAGTGCTAGGATCATGGATGTGTCCCACCACGCCCAACTGCAGTGCTGTTTCTGCCTCAGAACTAGCCAATCACGGACTGAGCGCATGGGAAACTGGGAATCAAATAAACCTTTCTTCTTTTAGGGTGTGGCTGTCAGGTATCTTATCCCAAGAATGGACAAATGACTAGTACTATATCTAGGAATGTGAAGGCTCCCGTGAGGTAACACCTATGAAATGAGACTGTAAATGGCAAACGCCAAGAGTGCCCATGTGCACGTGATGTGACACTGGTGTTAGGGTGCCTGCTACACACCGAGCTCCACCCACCCAAGCATCCTGACTCTGGTGGTGGGTACTTAACTCACAAGTGAGGCTTGCTTACCTTAATGTTCTCATTGTACGTGTCAGAATACGGCACAGCTTGAAATCTTACGTCTTGACGGCTGATTTCTGTGGTCAGCTGGTCGATAACTTTCTGAACCTCGTCCACAGTCTGGGAAATCTGCTGGCGCCTCAAGTCCACCTGTTTGTGGGGGGATCGGAAAGGTGGTTATTTCCTGTGAGAGCCCCACAGCACTGGCAACAAGGAGTATGACGAGGACACAGTGGTCAATGACCAGATGAATTCTGAGTAACAATCTTGCCTACCCAAGACTCCAGGGGAGATGAACCCGGTGCCAACTGAGATGACATCTGTAATGTCTTAGTGTTCTCTTCAGAAATGGGCACATTCTTTCAACATCTGCCAAGTATCTACAAAGTGGTACATGCTGGGTTGCTGCGGCAATCAGGACGATAGCAAATAAGTTAGAGACACTTGCCCTTCTCTTGACTACAGAGGGTGTGCGTACAAGTGTGTGTGTGTGTGTGATATAGTACTAGGGTTGATAAATGGCATGAAGAAAAATAAATTAGGAAAAAGAAGTAGTGAATAACTGACCTTATCAGACCCAAAAGCTACAACTCTTGTTGCATAGCTCCTGCTTTACCTTGGTCTTAACCATCCAGCAGAAAAGTATAAAAACGAAGTATAAGAAGTAAAACCATGTTGTTATGTTGAGCTGTAGGGGACTCGGGTCAACAATTTCTGACATTGCCAGTCAAGCAGAAGATGCAATACTATTATGGACTACTGGACTCTTTTAGAATATTTTGCTGAGTTAACACACCTATAATATTTAAATGACGGAACTAAACACAAAAAGGGGATACAGATGAATGTCCATTTTGTATCTGTGTATTCCAAATGGTTAGGATAGATATATAGTTACATTCTCTTAATGAATAGAGGGATTTGTTCCAATAGTTTTTGTAAAAAAAAAAAAAAAAAATGAAAAGAAATATTTGTACTAATAGTGTTTGGACAGGATATCATGTCCGCATCTCATACTATGAATAACTACTACAACGACAACAATATGCAATGTATTAACTATTGGTGTTGTCAAAATAAAATAAAATGAAATAAAATAAAAAAGAAGTAGTGAATAAAGGGGCCAGTATTTCACACGGAGAGCCCGGGGAGGCTTCTCTAAAGGGGAGACATCTGGCTGACTCAGGCAGGCAGCCTGAGAAAGCAGATGATTCCAAGATCCCCAAACCAGGCACAGCAGGACAAGGCTTAAGGGCCAGTGACGTGGCCACAGTAGTTGGAACATGAAAAGATAAGGAGGAAAAGCGATTGAGATTACTATGGGGGCTGCGTGATCACCAAAGGCTCTGTGAACCATTCCGAGACCCGAGCGGAATAATAATGCTGGCTCCTCAGGTTGGTAAATGTTAAATGGCTTAGTGTGTGTAACCACCCGGCAGATTGCTTCTCACTTATGTCATCATCGGGAGATGGTTCCCTTCAGCTTCGGCTTCACTCCTCCTTCTGTTGCTAAAGCAGAGATGGTGAACCTTTGGGAACATTCGATAATAAGAGGCCCACTGTTGCAGGGTGCTGGGGGTTTGCCACCCCTGTGCTAGATCCTCAGGGATAAGCAGGTATTTATGTTTTCTCGGGCTCCTGTGAGTCACTGAGAACTGGAAAATTCCCACAGCAAACTGAACATTAGTGAGAGATCCGAAGTGGAAGGAAATGAGTGTTCATGGGAAACACAAAGGAACCTTTAGCAAACTCCAGGAGGCACCCCAAAACCCAAATGAAAGAAGCAATGGAGCCCTCACTCTTCTGAGTACAGGGGGCTTGCTACTCTCCTCAGGAGGCAGCTGCGGCACTCAGGTCTCCTTCAGGCAGGGGTTGATGGTAAGCGAAATATGACACAATGAAATGCAATCCCTATCAGTGAATTCTACACTTCTTCTGAGTTTCTCTTAACAGCTATTTCGACACATTCTACCATAGTTTTGAGACATCTGTACGTTGGTCAAAATACCAATGAGAAAAAAGTCCAACAGAGAGAGTTCTGTTTCCCAAATCACCAATGACTTCAGTCATCTGAGAGCCTATGCTTCCCACCAACCAGTGAGCGATTCCACACATACACAGACTACATAAGTGAGTGTGCAGACACTGATTCCCGTTATATATCCCAGAAGGAATCGTGCATCTATAAATGTGTAGGACCTGCTCTGTGCTGGGCATAGTTACAGACTGGGCCACAGAAATGAGTAAGAGAAATATAACCATGCCCTCCCCCCTCAGGGATGACAGATGTCAGTAGACACTATAAATGTAGGGGACCATCGTGCAGAAGTGCGGTGGCCCACCGAGTCTGGCAGAGACAGCTGATCTAGTCTGCAGGCTCATTGGAACGTATCTCTAAGCACCAGCCCATCTCTGAAAAATAAGCTAATACTATCCAGATGCCTAACACTGAGAAGAACAGAAACATAAGATGAGGCCCCTCATTTTAAGGACCTTACAATCTCACCGGAAAAATGCCATGCACATGGAATGATGTTTTCCAAAGCATATGTCGTGCCTCATCTTGAATATGCTAAGGACATCCACGCCAAGCTCCCACGTCTTTGCTGTCCTCCGGCAGCCACTCACCTGTCTGCCTGTCTTTGATGTCCACCTAACTGTATGTCATGGGAGAAGGGACCAATGGTGTCCTCCTCAAACATTTTTAAACTTTGGAGGCTCTGAATCTTCTAGATTGTACTAGCAGGAGAGAGAAGATGGTCATGGAAAGGCAAGTCATTCACTCTACCAAAAATAGAATGGGACGTTTTTAGAAGCTTGTCATTTTTTTGGTACTGGGACTCACAACCTCACACTTGCTGGAAGCTTATAATTACAGGGTGCCTCGAGTGTGGGGCTTGCCTTATGGCTGTGATTCACCTTCGCTTAGCTAACTGTGCTGAAGGTCCACTTCCTGCTGGGCTCCATGGTCACAACCAGAGATCTGAAGATGAGCTGACAAAGCAACTTGAAGTTAAAATAATAAAGTCGATGTTAAAATTGCCAGAGCCATTTTCTAAGGAGAGGTTTGCAGGAGGTGCTGTGAACACCCAGAAAAGGCACAACTAGTGCCTCTAGTTTTAAGCCAGGCAGCTTCCTGGAGGCAGAGAATATTGGTATTACGTCTTGAAAAATGAGTAAGACGGCCGGGAAGACAGCTCAGCGGCATAAGTGCCTGACTGGCATGTGCAAGGTCCTAAGTTCAATCCCTGGTACCACACACACACACACACACACACAAAAAAGAAGAAGAAGAAGAAGAAGAAGAAGAAGAAGAAGAAGAAGAAGAAGAAGAAGAAGAAGA